TCCTGCTGGGGGGGAAGAAGATGAACGTGTTCCCCGTGGCCATGTCCTTGATGGTGACCTTCATGTCGGCCATGACCTTGCTGGGCAACCCCGTGGAGATGTACAAGTACAACACCATGTTTTGGTGGTTGGTGGTAGGGATGGTGCTGGCCATGTGGTCCACGTGTACCGTATACACGCCGTTTTTCTACAACCTGAAAAATGAGAGTGTATTCCAGGTGAGGTACATTTAGCTTTTAATATAGTTTAAAAAAAAACATTAAACGAAGACGTAAGAATTACAGAATGACAAATTACTCTTTCAAACACGACAAAATTTGATCTTTAATTAATAGCCCCCGGTATAAAGTAATGTCTACGGTATTCAGTAATTCCCGAGCTTATTGATATATTACTGTATATCAGTAAGCCGCCTAGTAACTCCAGAAAACTCCGTCTTATTTTATCCGTTTTTTTAATTGGTGTATATTCGGATGAGGATCATTGATTATTTCTTTTGGCCTCACGTTTTGTATATTTTGAAATTTGGCACGAATAAGGATGTGTAAATTTTCATATGTGTAATAACAGGCAAGTCGACGAGTGAGGTTTTGTGTGGATGAAATGTCAGCTCTAGACGACAATGTAAGGGGGATGGGTTGATGTTTTGTTCTAACTTTTATGAATACAGGGTTAAAACAGTAAACAATGAAAAGACAATATTTTGGAAGCTATAAGGCCAGGTCTGTGTCCCCCATTAATCCAAACGTAACGTGTAGACACAGGAAACCTGTGATTAGATATCCCATAATTGCCTGCTACCATCCCCTCTCCACACACACTAACACACTTAATCCCCACAACGTATAACTCTTTAAATATACGTCCACGAGAAATGTGGTTAGGATGTCGTGTTACACACCTCGTACTTTTCTTTCATATTACGGTATGTCGTGTATTGCAAATACATCAGGAGATTCTAGCTCATCTCTCACTCTTCTCCACCCTATCCCAAACCTACACTATTCTAACCTAAACCTACACTACCCTAACACAAACCTACACAACTCTAACCTAAACCTACACTACTCTATCCCAAACCTACACAATTCTAACCTAAACCTACACTACCCTAACACAAAGCTACAACACATTAACCCAAACCTACACTACCCTAACACAAACCTACACCACACTAACCCAAACCTACACTACCCTAACACAAACCTACACCACACTAACCCAAACCTACACTACCCTAACACAAACCTACACCACACTAACCTAAACCTGCACTACCCTAACACAAACCTACACCACACTAACCCAAACCCACACTACCCTAACACAAACCTACACTACCCTAACCTAAACCTACACTACCCTAACCCAAATCTACATAACCCTAACCTAAACCTACACTACCCTAACACAAACCTACACCACACTAACCCAAACATACACTACCCTAACCCAAACCTACACCACACTAACCTAAACCTACACTACCCTAACACAAACCTACACCACACTAACCCAAACATACACTACTCTAACCCAAACCTACACCACACTAACCTAAACCTACACTACCCTAACACAAAACTACACCACACTAACCCAAACCTACACTACCCTAACCCAAACCTACACCACACTAACCTAAACCTACACTACCCTTACCCAAACCTACACCACACTAACCCAAACTTACACTACCCTAACATAAGCCTACACAACCCTAACCCAAACCTACACACCCCTAGCATTAACCTACACCACCCTAACCTAAATGTTCACTACCTGAGCCGAAGGCACTGTACCGACGATCCTTGCATTCTATCTCCATTTTAACCCACTCAATCCCTTATCTTTTTCTAGCCCTCACCCCAAACTAACCACATTTTAACCTAAACTGTATTCCACCCATACCGTCACACCACCATAACCCCGACTCCACCATAACCTCCACTACAGCTTAATCCCCCACTCCACTCTAACCCCCACCAAATTTTCCCACAACCTTGATCCCTTAAACCCTCCCCCCCCCCTACTAAAAGTGCGGATATCCCATTACAGGGGTACGTCCAACTTCTGATCCCTCCACGACCCTTAGCGTGACGATACAGTTCAAGCTACGTCCGTTGACCAAGGTGCGTCTCTAGATGCGTGTGTTGAAAGTCTGACGGCACGGATTAATTAAGTAGTGACATGAATATCCGTGCCTCATTAAGGCTCGGCCCTTCAACAATAGCTTCACATATAACTTTATATGTCTTGTATTTAACGTGATTAATATTGAAATAAATGTTAGCCGAAATATTTAGCGGGATTAGTTAAGGTTAGCTGAAATATTTAGCGGGATTAGTTAAGGTTAGCTGAGAGATTTGCATAAAACAGCTGTTCTTTGTTTGATGGTATAGTTGATATTAATGTTTAGGGGCTGGGGGGGGGGGGGGTTCTGCGGTGGGTGAGAGAAGTTGTATCCTTATATGACGTCACAAAATTAAATGACGTCACAAAATTAAACGGGAGTGACGGTTTACCCATTTGTGACACGTTTTACGTTGGAGCTAGTCACTGGGACGACGGGTATTTTACATTTCTGAAAATTAAATAAAAAATTGAAACTTGTTAATTTTGTTTAGTATTACTGTTATGTTATGTTAGATGTAGTCATGATTTGTGAAGGGTTAGGGTTAGCGTTAGGGTTAAGGTTAAGGTTAAGGTTAAGGTTAAGGTTAAGGTTAAGGTTAAGGTTAAGGTTAAGGTTAAGGTTAAGGTTAAGGTTAAGGTTAAGGTTAAGGTTAAGGTTAAGGTTAAGGTTAAGGTTAAGGTTAAGGTTAAGGTTAAGGTTAAGGTTAAGGTTAAGGTTAAGGTTAAGGTTAAGGTTAAGGTTAAGGTTAAGGTTAAGGTTAAGGTTAAGGTTAAGGTTAAGGTTAAGGTTAAGGTTAAGGTTAAGGTTAAGGTTAGGTTTAGGTTTATGTTTAGTTTTAGGGCTAGGTCTAGGTTTAGGGTTAGGGTTAGGGCATTTAACGATGTGTTGATTAAGTAACTTAAACTTTTATTACAGGCCGTAAACTGCGGGCATTGCGTTGACCCGTAGTCATCGGATCCGGGTTTTTTTCGGTTGGGCGGCCTAAATTTACGACTCATCAATTCCATTTCGTCCGGGGGGGGGGGGACTTTCGACTTTCTTCGGGGGTCCCCCCACCTCACGAAGAGATGCCTGGAAGAAACTCTGAATTCGGTTTATATAGTTGGACTTTGTAAATCACGATCCATTATCCGATACATTTTCAGACTGTATCTGTTCCTCTATCAATTTGGCGGAGAGGCTAATTAGATCCCCGACACCCCTTATCACAGAGTTTTTACCGACAAGTTTCTGTCATATCTACTTTGACATTTTCTTTTTCTTCCATGCATGTACATTACATAATAAAAACAGAAGAATGCCCATGTATTGTTTTTACAAGGCTAATTGCTCGATTATGTGTTAATAGGTTCGTTCATCGGCGTGGTCAATTATCCAGTCATAGGTGGGTCGCAATGGGTGGTCTGTGTAACATGGGTTGTTGTTGTATAAAGATATTAGGTGGAGGAGGGTAGGTTGAAGGTGGAGTCCTTATGGCATCGAGCGCTTTAAATAACTCTCTAGCACAGTGCATGGTGATAGAGTGAGTGATTACAAATTTAAAGTGCTCACCCATAATCTTGCCACTTTTTAAAAGTATGGATCCCCTTCATTCTTTATTACAGGGGGTCAGAAGAAAGTCTACCCCCTCCCCCCACCTACACCACCCCCTAACTAAATGGAATTTATATAGAAAACATACTTTCAACAGTGCCCCCCCCCCCCCAACCTGGAGAAAAAAGTCTGGAAGAAACATTGAGAAAAATGAAGACCTATCTAAAATCACGTCACTCTTCAGCGCTCAGAAGTTTTTACAAATTTCAAACAGGAAGCATTAACATTATAAATATTAAAAACCAGCAAGAATATTTTTATTTTAATTTTAAACTAAATTTTAAAATTCTTTTTCTAAAAAACAAAAGTTTGTATTTACTCCAGACCCTTGAAAGTGAATTTCCAAATTATTTAGCTCTTATAAAATAGTACATTATTAAAATTAAGGGAGCTCCTTTAAAAAAAAAATCCCAGGTTCCGCCTACGAGTGATCTCCCCTTACAAGAACTCTTGCATACGCCCAAGTTTTCTAGCTTGGAGGATCCTAGGTGGTGCTCCTTACCTTAATGTGCCGCTAAACAAATATTATCGCTACAAGATACTACACTGTCTACGACTGTAATGTAATTTAGATAGGCAATATGAGAAACAACGCATGTAAATAAACCTGAGCTAATTCTAGCCTGCGTATCTTACTAAACGAGCCGGGATACATGTATAAGTTGATTAATGGTCAGAAGGTTCAATTCTGGTATTGGGTTTTTCTGTTATAACATTTGATGACTTGAAGAAAAGTTAAAACAAAAGTTAATTTGAGTTCGTTTTTTTTAAAAATATAGTCTCAGTTCTTAACCCCACCCGTACCATATACCGCCCTATACACCCAGCGTTTCTTACAGGCATCTCTTCGCGAGAGAGGGGGCTCAGCCCTCCGAAGAAAGTCTACCGCCCCCCCCCCCCGAACGAAATGGAATTTATATAGAAAATATATACTTGTAACAGTGTCCGCCACCACCCCACCCCCCACCCCCCACCACACGGAAATTTTAATCCGCCCTCCTGAAAATTTTAAGTGCCCCCCCCCCTACCGGTGAAAAAAGTCTGGAAAAAACACCGTATACACCCGAGGGTGGAGCGCCCCAAAAAACTCCTGCCTCCTTAGCAACACGTGGACGCCGCCTGCCAGTCTCCTGTGGCAGGTCCCAGGCAGGACATGTCACGTGGTACAGGTATAACCACCAAGTCACGTGGTACAGGTATAACGTCTAGGTTTGACCCACATTATAGCCTGGTCACATTCATCTTTTTTTTTAACGACGTTGACACAATTTTCACATGATATAAACCTAATTAAATTTTCCGTGGTTTGTAGTCTCCACCAAGACCACATAGTGTGTGACATCATAGTAGTTTAAATCCTGTGTTTTGTTCTGTTCTACATTCATTTTTATTGGCCGTGGATGTGGTTTTTTTAATTAGTCTATTCGTAATTAGAGAAAAGCGTAATTAGATGTTTAAAATATGTAGATAATCGTAGTTAAAATCCTGTGGTTTATTCTGTTCTGCATTCATTTTTATTGGCCCTGGATGTAGTTTTTATTTTCTGACCTATTAATTTAGTACAATTCGTAATTAGATGTTTAAATTTGTAGATAAATTACTTTGGGACGAATAACCCTCACATGAATATATGTGATGTCGCTGTTTATTTAGGTAGCGCATTTGGTTACTGTTGGGGTTTTTCTAATCGTTTTATGCTGTAGGTTAGATCTAATTTTAAAGTTTGATATAGGCTGGTTTGAAAAACAAAACAAGTTAAGGTCTTTCCATTAGTGGTTTACTTTACTTTATTGTTACTTAATTTCAACATCGTTTTAACATAGTATATAGCCAAGTACGCAGACAATAGAAGTTTGTGGTTCTGTTTCTATTAGGTTCTCGTTGGAAGTTCTCTTGATCAGTTAATTTCTAAATGAACTAAATTGCTCTTTGCTCGAAAGTTTACCTAGATTTGTTTACACGCATCTCGTGTTTCGTGTATATATGTGTCATTGCCTTCTGTGTACACACCTTACACACGTTACACACCTAACACATCAAGGCTACACAGGTCAAACTACATCCGGTGGTGAGTCGATAGAAACAATAGAGACTAGAATACCCGTCATCCGTTGGATAACTGTGGGCTTCGGGGGTCATCCATCAAAAAACATCACGTCTGTCACTCAGAGGCATAGCGACCCTTCCCGGCGCCCGGGGACAAACTTTTCGATTTGAACCCCCCCCCCCCAAGATTTCGATTTTCAACCCCCCCCCCCCCTCAAACTTTTGATGTGCACCCCCCCCCCCCCCCACTCAAACTTTCCATTTGAACCCCCCTCAACCTTTTAATTTATTTTTCCAAACCATTTTAGCGCCCCAACATATGTCCCCCCCCCCCTTCCCCCCTCCACCTCCCCTTCCCCCCCCCCCCCGCCTCCCCTCCCCTCCCGCCCCCCTCCTCGCTACGCTACTGCAGTGTCACTTATCGTCACAAAAACAGACCCCACATTCAAAAATATGTTTTTTATCTTTTAAAAACACCGAAAACAACGATTTCGGACTATCCCTTCATATACTGACGTCACAGGTGACCTACTCAACTCTACTTCACCTGCCCAGTGTCCCGCCAAGTCTCAGACAACAAAAACTATTCCAGCCGAGCATGTCTCTGACCACACTATCCCTTAATTTGCTTAGGACAAAGAAACAGATGAACCCTACTTCACCTGCCCTGTGCCCCGCGAGGTCCTGATAGTCAACCTTATCATTCACATATAGGGCTTAAGAAAAAATAATTGAAAACGTAAAAAAAAAAAAAGTTCTATTAATGTTTATGACACTGACTTTAAAATTTAGCCTTCACTCTCCAAAGCAAATTTTAAAATGCTTTTCTGGCATATCTAGCCCTGGCCACCTATACAATGTTTAAATAATGTGAACACCCGCCATTTTGTTCGTGGTAAACATGGCCTAAAAATGATCGGCAGACATGCGTCCGGTCCGTACGCCATATTGTTGTTAGCAGCCGACCACGCCTCCAAGTTAGTGAGTAATCCTACTTTATCTAGATATGGAACGTAGATAACAAAAAAATCCCATGTATTCTCGAATTAGATGATCATTGAAGCTAAACAAAGATTTATATAAAATAATTAAGGCCCGAAATAGATTCTAGATGTAGAATTTACATTAATCTAGATCTAGAATTTACATTGAGTCTAGTGACCTAGATCTAGAATCTAGATCTAGATCTAGGCCCTAGGCTAGATTCTAGATTCATAACTTTTCTTCGACAGCTGATCTTTAGATCTAGAGAAATTTATTGTAAAACTAAATGAAAAAGACAGTTGAACATTGATATAAGTGTTGGAACGTAATAAATACAGCAAACGGACGTATTGTTAAAGTTATGACCGACAGAAAATTAGATTTAGAACGCGTTAAACTTGTGAATGGGAACACAATTTTCTTCGATAGACGCCGCCATTTTATTGTACTAAAGAGTAAACAAAAACCTGTGACGTCACGGTCCCGCCGAGTCTAGTGGCTTTTCAAATCTTTTTTAAAAAAATGGGTTACTGTACGTATGAATAAATCAATAAATTAATTAACGTCTTTAAATAAATTTGTGATTAACAGTCTGTCTGCATTAAAAAATTATTCTCTACCTACATACTATTTTACAGCTCTCCAGATAGAGTCGAACATATCACAATTTTCAATCAGGCAAACAAACAAATATTCAAACATGTAAACAAACTTGACTTTTAGTAGTATATAGATGTGTAGATGCAGTGACGCATGCGTCAGTGAGGTCTACTTTTTTCAATGAGATAGAACAACACTAATGTCAACAGATAGCGCTCTATACAACAAGACGGATATTAACAGATAGCGCACTATACAACAACAACACCACTAGATGTGATATACAACCACACAAATTAAAACGTATGTTGTACTTAAACCAACACGAACAATAAAATATATTAAGAAAAACAATGACACATACATTTGCAGATATTGCTCTTTACAAAAAGACAACAGCATAGACATAAACAAATACCCTACTATATAACACACAAAAAACACCACAAACACAAACCCATACCGCACTATATAACAAGAACAACACGACAGCTAGTGCACTGAACATCAAAATCCAGTTTTAACCCTTGACCTGCCAGCGATGATTTATTACAGCAAGGCAGATGTAAGTTGAGACAGAATAAAGGCTCTTCTGTCTTGCAGACGACCGAGTTACATATCTCGTCTGCTGCACTTCTGCTTCGTGTACTGTCGTTTGCTTCGGTGAATCCGTCTCTGTCATTTATGTGGATAATGAATCCTAGTAATCAAATGTGTATTCATTAAATAAAATTCAGTCTTGACTCTCTTTTATTCAACCAGTGAAGCCAGAATCTGAACATTTAATATTTTAACATGCTTTACAACGAATGTAAAGTGTGAACATGTTTCACAACGAATGTAAAGTGTGAACATGCTTTACAACGAATGTAAAGTGTGAACATGCTTTACAACGAATGTAAAGTGTGAACATGTTTTACAACGAATGCAAAGTGTGAACATGTTTTACATACCGTGAACGGTCTGAGCCTGTTTTTTTAATCTTTGACCAATCTTCACGCTACCCTGTTCTGAGCTACCCTGGGCATATGCCCACAATAGCTGCCCATCTGCCCCTATCTTGCTAATCAGTGTCCAGTCATTCTTGGCCGAACTTTTGTGTTTGTTTTAGAGCATCCAGTCTCGATGGTAGTTGGACTATCTATGTCCACTTTCTTTGGGGATTTTAAAGTTCAAGTTAGGTTTAGTTTTCGACTCATTATTGACGTCTAATGGCGTTGTTTAATAGAATTAGTATAGCAACTCTCTCGTCTCTAGACAACAACAACAACAAAAAAGTGTTCAAAGCATTTTATCAATTAAAAAATTACATTTTTAACACCGTATCTTCTCTTCATAACATCACCGGTTTCAGTAACCTCGGCATAGAAAGGGATAGTGTTGTCAGCACTATGCACACTACGCCTTCACTTTCCCTAACGTGAGCCAGGTACCCATCAGAGCTGGGTGGACTCAGCGACGTTCTATTGACACAAACTTGGGTTCGAACTCGAGAGTTTCGGGTTGGCAGTCGTATTCTGTACTATCCGATCACGCCATACCCTCAGTATTACAAAGATTATTCCAAATGTTGTGATTAAAAATTCGACTTCTATTCAAAACATTAGTTCTCTGCTGCTATATTCCCAATCCTTATGTCATATCTACCACTGTCAGTCTTATTTGACGACACAATCACAACGGATACATTTTTCTTAGTCTTCCCGTCCTACTGCTAGTATAGCTATTTTAACGTGAAATACTCTCTAATATTGAATTTTATCCTAATGTTTACCCTAATGTTAGACAAATGTTTAGTTTACTCTATAAACTTTGATGTCCATTTTTAACACTATATCTTCTCCACAAAACATAACAAATACCACAATGTTAGGTCTATGACCTTGTCTTCAGGTCATAAAAGTTTATGGCTGATCGTACTGTCAATTTCAGAGAAATGTTACAAGGGGGTGTGAATTAGTTAAGTGCCGACAGGTTTAGCCTGGTATAAAACTTCCAGTAATAGCACCGTAGGCCTGTCTTATGTTGATGTTTGAGCCGAAATTTTAATGTGATTTTTTATTCGTTAATATGTTAGTGTCGTGATTGGAACGGGATCAATTCACAAACGCTAACATTCTGGGAAGTGGATCGCACGTACTAGGAAAATGTTCCGTGGAAAATAAGACTGAACGTTTCTAAATTATGAGAAAGTTAATTGATACTTGTTTCTTTAAAGAACTAAAATAATCTTGGACTGGGAAGTGTTGGATTGTTTTCTTAAAGAACTAACAAAATCTTGGAAGTGTACGATTACAGAACTAAGTATTGTCATCTAGAAATACGGATATCGTTATAGAAATCCAGGCGTTATAAGGAAGTATAGAGCAGAACCTCACAAGATGTCTGAAGACTACAGCATCTACACGGGTGTGGTCAAGAGTTTCGGCATCGCCGACTACATCCTCTTCTCTTTGACGCTTCTCGTTTCCGCCGGGATCGGCATCGGGTTCGCCATAGCTGACAGGAAGAAGAACACGACGGACGAGTTTTTGCTGGGCGGGAAGAAGATGAACGTCTTCCCCGTGGCCATGTCCTTGATGGTGACCTTCATGTCGGCCATGACCTTGCTGGGCAACCCGGCGGAGATCTACAACTACAACACCATGTTTTGGTATTTGATCGTCGCTTTCGTGACGGCCATTTCTTTCTCCGCCTACATCGTCATACCTTTCTTCTACCATCTTCAGATAACCAGCACATTCGAGGTAAGGGAATCTTCTCGCTCTCACAACATAAACAAATCATCTGAGTGTTCTGAGTTGAGAGCTCAAACTATTTTTTATTACCAAAAACATTATGCTGTAATAAATGGTTAAAGCTTGGCATTATAGAAAGAAATTGATGTTGAAATTTTTTTTATAAAAATACATATTTGATTATGTATTAGCATCAATGTGACTTAATAATTCAGTATATTTAGGTATGCCTTCCCATCCCTTTATGTTTTATCGTAGCTTCTCTAGTATAAAATGTTAGTATCCATTTTGATCACCTCACACACTTTGCTTACTTACATACCTTGTTAAGTTAATTTAGCGGCGTGATTGCAATTATCTTAAAACCGCCATCTGCACGTTTATTAGTGCTGACGACGGCGGTAATTTCTATCACGTGGTTTCTTAAATCTTCTGGTCTTTTAAAAAAAAAAAATTATACAGAAAATGTATACTTTAACCAGCGTCCGCCCCTCCAGATATTCTTCCAGGCATATCTTCGTGGGGGGGGGGGGCGAAAAAAGTCTACCGCCCTACCCCCCGAACAAAATGGAGTTTATATAGAAAATATATACTTTTAACAGTGCCCCTACCCCCCCCCCCCCCGAAAATTTCAGAAAGAAGTCTGGAAGAAACACTGCGCCCCTCTCTCTGGAAACTTTAAGCGACCCCCCCCCCCCCACCGGAAATATTTAATTCACACCCCCTCGCCTCACACTGAGAAAAATGTATGTAAGAAACCGTGGGTATGGTGATAACAGGACACGGCAAAATTTTAAGAGCCGCAACTGTTAGATTAAAATTAGTCTTAAAATTGTCATCCCGTAACTTTAAAAACTTGTTTCCTCCAATTTCATGCTTAACTCTCTATTTTAACAACCAATTGAATCAGGTTTGGCAGTGGAAATGTCTGTTAGTACATTAAATAATTTTAGACAAACCATCATTAGTTTCTCATTATGCTCTATAAATACATAGGCCTACCTGGTACCTGGTACCAAACATTATTTGGTTTTACTTTCGATTGAATCAAATTACACCAGAAAAAACCCCAACCTAATCAAGATAACTTGTAACATTGTATTGATGTTGAAGGCTTAAAAGCTATTGATCATTAGTTCCTTTGGCTGTCTGCCAATTGGGTCTACAACTTTTTTTGCTAGCTAGCTTGTATCTCTAATGATACTATTAAATCTAAAACTTTGTTTTAACATAATCTCGCTTTTAGCAGCGACCTAGTAAACATAATCTCAACACCTCGTTCATTGTCTTCACCGTATAAAATCGACCCATAAAACACGGCACCAGGTAGGCCGATAGGTAAAGGTTAAACTCAACCACTATTTTCAAGTTAAACCGTTAACCCGTAACTCTGTGCCAGCGTTGTCCTGTATCCAGGTACTGTCATGTTGTAGAGAGCCGCATTACCATACAATACAGGAGCGTTAAATGGGTTTATCACGGTAGATAGTACACCACGTAGTAAAACGGTAGAGATCTTTTAATCTCTTTAGGCTGCTGGAGTTGGATAGCATTTAGACGTGGCGGTGGTCTCAGGTTTAACGACAATGATATTATATAATGAAACAAATGTAAAATAATAAGCTTTAAAAATGCAACGAAGACAAGAAAAATAATAATTTTAAAAATTAGTTTTTTTTTAGTAAAAGTCTTGGTCGCTAACGTGTGTGATTTCCTAACGTGGTCGGGTCGGTTAAGATCATGGTTGGTGACCCGAAAAATCCGGAGTTCGAACCCCCGGACAGATCAAACAACTGCTGCCATGTAGTTGGTTCTTGGATGGACAAAGGCTTAATGGTGTTGGAGGGATGGATCTCTTCCAACACTGGAATTAAGTACGGAGAAGAAGATAAATCTTGTTCTCTCCCCTGTTGTTATTGAATTTAATTGGCCTTTGATTAGCTTTTTATGACTGATTTAGCCTGTCTTCGGCTGAGAATGAATATGCAAAACCAAATCCTGGACCTAATACATGGTTCCAATATGAGTTACTAGATTTGCACTCACATACAGACAGACATATATTGTGAACTAAATAAAAGCTTCCATTAACACATGTAATAATCTTGTATAACAGTAAGCTTAAAATGTACTGAAAATAAAAAAGGAAAAATGTTTTTTTTTTTTTTAAATAAAAGCAATGGTCGCTCATAAAATATTTTAAATGTTTTAAACGCGGCAAGTGCTAAACTAAAACAAGAGAATAAAATACAAGAATACACTCTGTCAAACCCTACTTTGTAAATTGATATGGTGATGGATGGTGTTGGTCGGGTGTACAAAAGAAGTATATCTTAGTCATGAAAATGTTTACATAGCGCCCTGAAATCAATGTAACCGGATACTGAAATCAGTGACAGGGTTTCGACAAAATGTCTTAGTCGGTGTATACAAAAATTAATTAAAACTCAATTGTGTGTCACACATCATAAAGCGTGCTGCAATTTTACTTTTTACTTTCTCGTATATATGTAGTATAGAGAAAGTATTGTAATCGTGCAAAAAAAAAAATCGAGATTCTTACAAATCTCGACGTTTTACACCTCACTGATACGGAAAAACATAATTTTGCAATCTTGTCCGTATGTCTGTGTGTGTGTGTGTCTGTCCGTGTGTGTGTCTGTCCGTGTGTAAACACGATAACTTGAGTACCGTTACAGCTAGGTTGATGAAATTTCATATATAAGTATTTTATCAAAATCGTAGATCCGTATCAACTTTTGAGCGATTTCCGATAACCGGAAGTGGTACTTTTCCTACTTTGAATTTTTTAAAAGCCTATAACTTGAGTACTATTTCAGATAGATAAATGAAATTTCACATGTAAGTAAAAGATCTAATTCTCTACCTTCTGTTAAAGTTTGAGTAATTTCCGTTGACTGGAAGTAGTAATTTACGCTACTTCCGATTTCTCAAAAAACTAATGTAAATTTTAAAAGTACTAATAATATTGCGCACTATTATGCGCTTTTTTTTATTTGCGTTCACTTGGTGTGCAATTAATTTGTCTACGAGAAATGTATACAATACGATTTTCTCGGCCTAAACTTTTATAACTTTTTACTTTATCTAATTAAATTCTAATTAGATTCTAGATATAGATCTAGATCTCGATTCTAGATCTGGACTAGATCTACGGAAAAACTATACGTAGTCGCTAAGATCTGGATTTAGACTATCTACTAAAAACAACATAACTACCACTGAACCGCCGGGTTTTTAAAGAAATCTTTTAAGTCTCTTAATTATGAGATTCTATTCTATTTTTAAAAGTTTAAGTATTTAAAATGGATTAAAAATCATAACTATATCCCCAGTTACCATCCCCTGTTGTTTTATATAAGAATATTCGAGAAAGTTTAGGGGAGATCACTACCGGTTTATTTATTTGGCGTTCACTTGGTGTGCAATTAATTTGTCTACGAGATTTTATTCTATTTTTAAAACTTTAAGTATTTAAAATGGATTAAAAATCATGTCTATAGCCCGAGTTCCCATCCCCTGTTATTTTATATAAGAATATTCGAGAAAGTTTAGGGGAGATCACTCCCGGTTTATTTAACTAAGCGTGCTTCAAATAGCGAATTGTCCTATATGATTGCATCCAACACTGTAGTCATGTTACTAATCGTCATGTTTCGCGTCAGTGAGTTTTCTAAATCAGCCTTACCTTTGACTGATTACTCCGTTCTCCAACTGCTAGTTTTAACTACACTCTAGCTTACACAAAATGCTAGACAGCTGAATTTATATATATATATATATATATATATATATATATATATATATATATATATATATATATATATATATATATATATATATATATATATATATATATATATACATATATATATATATATATATATATATATATATATATATATATATATATATATATATATATATATATATATATATATAATTCGTAGTGCGGTGTAGTCTGGGATTAGTCTGTTGTAAACATATTCTGACCAGCTAACGTAACATGAAAACGAAAGAAGAACAGCCTTAAATTTCTAATCAAATAAAATAATAAATATAAAACAACAGTACGTGACAGGTGCTTGATGTTTGTAGTCTTCAATGTGACAATAACAAGCCTATCTAGATCTCATAGCATTGTTAGGATTTTATTATAGGAGTGTGTGTGTGGGGGGGGGGTGATCAAAATAGCTACCTAATATCCGCAAATAGCCGTAACGACTTGAGACCGCTGTCGTTTTGGGAAGAATAAAGGGGGGCTGTAACCCCTCAACACACCCTTGCTACGCCTCTGATTTACTGTGTTACTGTGATATACAACAAGCTGATCAGGACTCATAAAAACTGCCACGCCACCCCACGTAAATACAAGTAACTCTGCTTATGTTCAAAATAAGCATTTTAAAACATAAGTAAGTGAAAGCTATTGTGGGGTTAGTCGTACTGCATTAATTATTCCGATGGTGAAACTGGCTTTTAAAAAAATAAAAATAAAAAGTATTATAAAATATTACACACGCGTTTTAGAAAAAACGTTTTAACTATCACTCTGTCTGTTTGTTCGTCTATCCGCCTGTCTGTCTGTTCAAACTAACTACAAACTGCCAGTGTAAATTAGTCGTAAACTGCAATTGTAAATTGTACGTCGCCTCTGTAGTCTTCGTAAATTAACTGCAAACGGTGTAAACTAATTGTATAAACTTAACGCAAACTACCTGTGTAAACTTAATGTAAACTACCTGTGTAAATTAAATGTAAACTACTTGTGTAAACTAAATGTATAAACTAAATGTAACTGTCTGTGTAAATTAATTAAGTATAAACTAACTAAAAACAGTCTGTGTAAACTAACTATAAACTACCTGTGTAAAATAAATGTAAACTACTTGTGTAGACTAACTATAAACTACCTGTGTAAACTAACTACAAACTACCTGTGTAAACCAACTATAAACTATCTGTATAAACTTACTATAAACTATCTGTGTAAACTAACTATAAACTATCTGTGTAAACTAACTATAAACTACCTGTGTAAACTAACTATAAACTACCTGTGTAAACTAAATGTAAACTACCTGTATACTTCCAGTACCTGCAGATGAGATTTGACAGGGCCACCAGCCTGTTTGGTTGTTACATCCTCATCGCCCAGACGGTAAGAAAAGGGTGACAAAATGTGACAAAAAGTTGACGGAAATGTGACAGACAGGTGACAGAAAGGTGACTGATTAAATGAAAGGTGTTCGGTTTATTCTCTAAAAGCTTTGAGATGATGTTCAGTCAAGCTGAGACCAATCACGTGGATTATATTTTTAATTTAATATGTAAACATTACAATTATTCTCAATTCTGCTCGTAAGGCTTTATAAGATTTAAATAACTTGGTTAGATCGCTTTTTCTTCTTTATTTATAATCATAATTTTAGGAGAGAATATATAATACAAAATAATCCAAGTACGAAATATCTCAAGGACCAAAGTATCTCAGACAAAATGGTCCTAGGAAAAAATACATTAGACAAAATGACGATAGGACAAGATATCTCAGACAAAATCTTCCACGCACAAACTATCTCAAGGACGTAAAGATCTCAGCAACAAATACTTCAGACATCTCGTGCACGAGATTTGACTGATCTAGTGGGACAAGTGAAGTATGCCGTGTTTAGACGTGACAATCTTAAGATTTAGCTGACCCCTGACCTCTTGTTCTACTCCCTACAGCTGATCTACATGGCGTTTCTGCTCTATGCCCCGGCCCTGGCACTTAATGCAGGTAGGTGAGGGGTTGGGGTGGTGGGAGATAGTAGGGGAAGATACACTATTATTTCATTTAATCATTCATCGTGTCAACATTTGTATCGCCGATATAACATAAATTATACTTTGGTATTGTCGATATATATATATATATATATATATATATATATATATATATATATATATATATATATATATATATATATATATATAATATATATATATATATACATAAAATTTATTTATTTATTTATTTAATCGTCAATATATTCGCTTCACCGTAACCAGACTGTTGTAATACCAGTTTGAAAGATGTTTACAATTAGGTTTTAAAGTTTCATTTCATTAAGAATTTTTGTATTTAAGCACTTGGTAAAATGGAATTAATTTTTTTTTTAATCATGCCTAGGTGGATTTATAACCTAACAATGTATATGTTCGGAAAAAAAAAGAATAATGGCGTTAGAACAGTCTGGTACTAGACATTTATATTACTAGTATTACATATTACCATTATATAAGTGGCCTAGAGGGCTAGACTGCTAACACGTAAGTCTAGAGTTCGAATCCGGGTTCAAGCCAGTAGACCGTAGCTGAGTTCACCCAGCTCTGATGGGTTCCCTCACGCGGCTGGGCAAATGTGCTGACCACATTATACCCTTTTATATGCCCAGGTCACAGAAACAGGCGAACTCTACTTCACCTGCCCCTATAGACCGTCAGATTTGGAAGGGGAACTTGCCTTTATCTTTAATTAATCCTATAAATTTGCCCTAATTTAATTATGTGCTTTATGTGCTATCGGCGGTGACTTCTATAATTTGTATGACCTAATTGTTCTGATTGGTTTTCTCCAGTGACTGGCGTCCACCTGTGGGGGTCAGTCATAGGGATGGGATGTGTGGTCACCTTCTACACGACCTTGGTGAGTCTTTGATTTCTTCAGACAGGTAACTCAACACCTCGGTTAGGGACCACGAGACTTTAGACAGGGACCATAAGACTTTAGACAGGGACCCTGAGACTTTAGACAGGGACCACGAGACTTCAGACAGGGACCACGAGACTTTAGACAGGGACCACGAGACTTTAGACATGGACCACGAGACTTTAGAGAGGGACCACGAGACTTTAGACAGGGACCAAGAGACAATACAGGGACCACGACACTTTAGACAGGGACCACGACACTTTAGACAGGGACCACGACACTTTAGACAGGGACCAAGAGACAATACAGGGACCACGAGACTTTAGACAGGGACCACGACACTTTAGACAGGGACCACGAGACCAGAGACTACGAGAATTTTTGACTCACTCTTTGCCCAAACTTTCTTTACCGATCTCTGCCCCATTTACCCCAATCTCTCCTCATCTTTGCCACAATCTCTCCCAACCTTTAGCCCAATCTTTATCCTAATCTTCCCTTATCTCTCCCAATTTTTACCTCAATCTTTACCATAATCTTTATCTCGATCTTTACTCCAATCTCTCCTAATCTCTCCCAATCTTTACACCAATCATTAACCCGATCTTTACCCCAATCTCTCCCAATTGTCACTCCAATCTCTCCTAATCTCTCCCACTCTTTACCCCAATCTTTACCCCAATCATTACCCCAATAATTACCCCAATCTTTACCCCAATCTTTACTTCAATCTTTACCCAAATCATTACCCCAATCTCTCCCCCAATCCCTGCTTGTAGGGCGGCATGAAAGCCGTGCTGTGGACGGACACCTTTCAGGCCGGTGTGATCATAGCGGGTCTGTTGGCGGTGCTCATCAAGGGCTCTATGGTGGAGGGAGGCTTTGACAAGGCCTGGGAGATAGCCAACCTACACGGGCGGATTGTCTTTGATGAGTAAGTTTGTTTTAGCCCAGTAAGTCTGTTTCAACTCTATAAGTAAGTCTGTTTTAGCTCTATAAGTAAGTCTGTTTTAGCTCTTTAAGTAAGTCTGTTTTAGGTCTATGAGTAAGTCTGTTTTAGCTCTATAAGTAAGTTTGTTTTAGCTCTATAAGTAAGTCTGTTTTAGGTCTATGAGTAAGTCTGTTTTAGCTCTATAAGTAAGTCTGTTTTAGCCCGGTAAGTCTGTTTCAACTCTATATATAAGTCTGTTTTAGCCCAGTAAGTCTGTTTCAACTCTATAAGTAAGTCTGTTTTAGCTCTATAAGTAAGTCTGTTTTAGCTCTATAAGTAAGTCTGTTTTAGCTCTATAAGTAAGTCTGTTTTAGGTCTATGAGTAAGTCTGTTTTAGCTCTATAAGTAAGTCTGTTTTAGCTCTATAAGTAAGTCTGTTTTAGCTCTATAAGTAAATCTGTTTTAGCTCTATAAGTAAGTCTGTTTTAGCTCTATAAGTAAGTCTGTTTTAGCTCTATAAGTAAGTCTGTTTTACCCCAATGAGTAATTATATTTTACCCTAATGAGTAAGTCTGTTTTCTATCAATGAGTAAGTCTGTTTTACCCGAAAGAGTAAATTTCTTTTCCATCAATAAGTAAGTTAATTTTTCATCAATAAGCTAAAACGTTTGCTTAGATATCCGCCAAATCTCAAGATGACATAATGTTTCAATTCATGTAGTAGACTTCACGATTACATCTACTATGAAGGATGATATCTGGTTATTGAAGTCACTTACAATCAAACTTGCTCCACTAATTTTGTAATCTCTCTCTCTCTCCCCCTCCACAGGGCGAATCCCGACCCCAAGGTCCGTCACTCCATCTGGTCCATGGTGTTTGGGGGCTGGGCCTTCTGGATGTACCTGTACGGGGTCAACCAGGCCCAGGTCCAGCGCTGTTTGAGCTGCCCCACGGTCAGGAAAGCTCAGCTGTAGGTCATCATGCCCTCATTCATTGCTACTCGTTACAAACATCGGAATTATTACTTTACGACGCCACGCTTGATGGGTACCTGACGCAGGTTAGGGAAAGTAAAAAGTGGCTGAGCATAGTGATGACCTCACTATTTCTTCTATATGCCGAGGTCACTGAAACAAGTGAACTCTACTTCATTGCTCCTCGGACCGTCAGGTTCAAAAGTGTACTTCACTTTTTTCCATGCATATGGTAATCACAGTTTAGTGAAAATACGTCCGTGAAATGATACATTTTAAAATAGTTTCGACAAAACAAGAAACAAGATCAAATGTTTACTTAATTTTTAAAAATCGCAATAAAATGTAAGGCTACATTTCAACACATCATCTATGAGGTTATTTTTTTTTTATTGTTTACTTACACTATAGGGCTGGTAAGTAGGTCACCAACCAGTTCTATGGCTCAATAAAACCTGCATGGGCAATAGAACTGTTTATTGACCTACTTACCAGCCCTATAACAATGTCTCCAAGTAGTGGAAAGTGTTTATGTATCCGTAATTGTAACCTTAAATTACTTGTAAATATAATTAACGTGAGATCAGCTGTTTACACCACTAACTGTGATCAATTGTGTACATAAATAACGATTGATCACTTATGTAAATGATTAATAATTAATCACGTGTACATATAATTGAGAAATCTCAAGTGTACATGTTTAACATGTGCTCATCAATGTACATTATGTTAACCTGTGCTCACGTGTGTACATTATATTAATCTGTGTATATTATATTAACCTGTACTCACCTGTGTACATTATATTAACCTGTGTACATTATATTAACCTATGCTCACTTGTGTACATTATATTAGCCTGTGCTCACCTCTGTACATGTTTAACCTGTGCTCACCTGTGTACATAATTAACCTGTGCTCAACTGTGTACATGTTTAACCTGTGCTCACTGTGTACATAATTAACCTGTGCTCAACTGTGTACATTATATTAACCTGTGCCCACCTGTGTACTTTTTTAACCTGTGCTCACCTGTGTACATAGTTAACCTGTGCTCACCTGTGTACACGTTTAACCTGTGCTCACCTGTGTACATGTTTAACCTGTGCTAACCTGTGTACATGATTAACCTGTGCCCACCTGTCTACATGTTTAACCTGTGCCCACCTGTGTACTGGTTTAACCTGCGCCCACCTGTGTACATTATATTCACCTGTGCTCACCTGTATCACACCAGTGCCATGTGGATCAACCTGCCGGGTCTGATGTTTATAGTCAGCACCTGTTGCATGATCGGCATCGTCATGTTCGCCTTCTACGTCGACTGCCACCCCATCACCTACGGTCTTGTGGACAAAACTGACCAGGTAATTATGTCTACCACACCTTCTCTGATAAGGTAAATATGACAACATCCCATACCTGACACGATAAATATGTCAACATCCCATATCTGAAAAGGTAAATACAACATTCCATCTCTGACCAGGTGAATATGACTACCACGACCCCCCCCCCTTTACCCATCTCTGCTTAGATGAAAATTACCCTTACCCCCTATGGAATCAGGTAATTATGACTATCAACTCCACATCCCTGGAATCATTTGAGCCGTGTATTGTAAAATATCTCTAAATAGTTTATTATTTATCAGGTACATGTCTATTCGTTATGAGATGGATATTTTTAAAATGCTCTAAAAATATTATTCAACCTCCTGTCCTCTCCCCCCCCCCCACCAGCTTGTACCTCTGTACGTCATGGACATCCTCGGAGACTTTCCTGGCCTGCCTGGTGTCTTCGTCTCGTGTGTCGTCAGCGGCAGTCTCAGGTAGGTCAGACCTTTTAGCTCTAGTCTCAGGTAGGTCAGACCTTTTAGTCTCAGGTAGGTCAGACCTTTTAGTCTCATGTAGGTCAGACCTTTGAGCTCTAGTCTCAGGTAGGTCAGACCTTTTAGTCTCAGGTAGGTCAGACCTTTGAGCTCTAGTCTCAGGTAGGTCAGACCTTTTAGTCTCAGGTAGGTCAGACCTTTTAGTCTCAGGTAGGTCTGACCTTTTAGCTCTAGTCTCAGGTAGGTCAGACCTTTTAGTCTCATGTAGGTCAGACCTTTGAGCTCTAGTCTCAGGTAGGTCAGACCTTTTAGTCTCAGGTAGGTCAGACCTTTTAGTCTCAGGTAGGTCTGACCTTTTAGCTCTAGTCTCAGGTAGGTCAGACCTTTTAGTCTCAGGTAGGTCAGACCTTTGAGCTCTAGTCTCAGGTAGGTCTGACCTTTTAGCTTTACCTGCGGTCTCTTTTTAGCACCCTCTCGGTTCCATTTTTTTTTTCATTTAGTCTTCTTCAGAGGCGGGGACAAACTTTCGATTTGCACCCCCCCCCCCCCCCTCAAGATTTCGATTTGCAACCCCCCCCCCTCTCAAATTTTCGATTTGCACCTCACCTCGAGCTTTCAATTTATTTTTCCAACCCATTTTGGAGCCCCCTAAGGTCGGCGCCCGGGGACAATTGCCCCCCCCCCTCGCTACGCCTCTGGTCTTCTAAATCTATCACTTTATATTTTCGGGGGGGGGGGGGGAGGGGGGCGGACAACATTTTCCTGGGGGGGGCGGACACTGGTAAAAATATAAATTTTCTATATAAATTCCATTTCGTTCTGGGGGGGGGGGGGGGTAGAATTTCTTCGAGGGGGGGGGGGGGGGCGGTAGACTTTCTTCGGGGGGAGGGGCGATGCCTGAAAGAAACTGATCACAAAAACTATTTTATTGAAGTAGACTTAAAACACCGAAACAGGGCTGTTAGCATATTTTTCAGAACGCAATAAATAGAACTTGGGTATTGAGGCCGAACAAACCAGTTTCAACTGATCCGTATCCATGACCTCGCTTCAAACATAACAACGGTATCAAAACACTGCCGTTACTTCCGGTTTGTCTGCCGGTTTGTTTACTTACACATGTGGACTGTTGTGTTGTTGTGGCGAGATTTGATCACAAGAGTGGTTTGTTCACAAGGTTGCCCTGCCCTAACACAGTGTTTTCCATCCAGTGTATGTGTAATACTAGAATTATATATAGTTTGTGTGGCGAGGAGTTGATAGTTCCATGTAATCTAAACTTTATCGTTACAGTTTTCTGCTATCTAAACTTTATCCTTACAGTTCCCTGTTATCTAAACTTTGATCCCACAGTTCCCTGTCATCTAAACTTTACCTTCACAGTTCCCTGTCATCTAAACTTTTCTCTTACAGTTCCCTGTCATCTAAACATTGACGTTTTACCCCGCAGTTCCCTTGCTTCCAAACTTTGACATTTGACCCCACAGTTCCATGTCATCTAACCTTTGACATTTGACCCCACAGTTCCCTGTCATTTAAACTTCAACATTTAACCCCTCAGTTCCTTGTAATAAAACCTTTGACATTTGACCGCACAGTTCCCTGTCATCTAACATTTGACATTTGACCCCACAGTTCCCTGTCATCTAACATTTGACATTTAACCCCTCAGTTCCCTGTCATTTAAACTTTAACATTTGACCCCACAGTTCCCTGTCATCTAACCTTTGACATTTGACCCCACAGTTCCCTGTCATCTAAACTTTAACATTTGACCCCACAGTTCCCTGTCATCTAAACTTCAACATTTGACCCCACAGTTCCCTGTCATCTAAACTTTAACATTTGACCCCACAGCTCCCTGTCAACTAACCTTTGACATTTGACCCCACAGTTCCCTGTCATCTAAACTTTAACATTTGACCCCACAGTTCCCTGTCATCTAAACTTTAACATTTGACCCCACAGTTCCCTGTCATCTAAACTTTAACATTTGACCCCACAGTTCCCTGTCATCTAAACTTTAACATTTGACCCCACAGTTCCCTGTCATCTAAACTTTGACATTTGACCCCACAGTTCCCTGTCATCTAACCTTTGACATTTGACCCCCACAGTTCCCTGTCATCTAAATTTTAACATTTGACCCCACAGTTCCCTGTCATCTAAACTTTAACATTTGACCCCACAGTTCCCTGTCATCTAAACTTTAACATTTGACCCCACAGTTCCCTGTCAACTAACCTTTGACATTTGACCCCACAGTTCCCTGTCATCTAAACTTTAACATTTGACCCCACAGTTCCCTGTCAACTAACCTTTGACATTTGACCCCACAGTTCCCTGTCATCTAACCTTTGACATTTGACCCCATAGTTCCCTGTCATCTAACCTTTGACATTTGACCCCACAGCTCCCTGTCATCTGGCCTCAATGCCCTGTCAGCTGTGACGTTACGTGACATCATGCAAGAGTCATGTTCCAGCCTGACCAAGATCAGCGAGTTCAGGACAACAATCATATCCAAACTTATAGGTAAGTTGTGGATAACTGTATCCAAACTTATAGGTAAGTTGTGGATAATCATATCCAAACTTATAGGTAAGTTGTGGATAACTGTATCCAAACTTATAGGTAAGTTGTGGATAATCATATCCAAACTTATAGGTAAGTTGTGGATAACTGTATCCAAACTGATAGGTAAGTTGTGGATAACTATCCAAACTTATAGGTAAGTTGTGGATAACTATCCAAACTTATAGGTAAGTTGTGGATAACTATCCAAACTTATAGGTAAGTTGTGGATAACTATCCAAACTTATAGGTAAGTTGTGGATAACTGTATCCAAACTTATAGGTAAGTTGTGGATAACTGTATCCAAACTGATAGGTAAGTTGTGGATAATTATATCCAAGCTTATAGGTAAGTTGTGGATAACTGTATCCAAAGTTATGGGTAAGTTGTGGATAATAATATCCAAACTTATAGGTAAGTTGTGGATAATTATATCCAAACTTATAGGTAAGTTGTGGATAATCATATCCAAACTTATAGGTAAGTTGTGGATAATTATATCCAAACTTATAGGTAAGTTGTGGATAACTGTATCCAAGCATATAGGTAAGTTGTGGATAACTGTATCCAAACTTATAGGTAAGTTGTGGATACTTATAACCAAACTTATAGGTAAGTTGTGGATAATTATAATCAAACTTATAGGTAAGTTGAGGATAATTATATCCAAACTTATAGGTACGTTGTGGATAATTGTATCCAAACTTATGGGTAAGTTGTTTAAGGCGAACTAGGCGGTCGACTAGGGCGCTGTCCGTGGGGGGGGGGAAGGGGGGTTGGCGCAAAAATATGAAATCGCAATTATTTAAAACTACCTAATAATTTACAACTTTGATTAGATTACATTGACTATATATACAAAGGCGTAGCGACCTATTTAGGTGCCTAGGACGAACTATCAGTTTTGCGCCCACCTTCAAATTAGACCTATTTATAAGTATTCGCGTTGGTGAAAATGCGCCCCCACTTCCCTTATTTGAAAAGGTCGGGGGGCTTTTATAACCAGTGTTTCTTCAAGACTTTTTAAAATATTTTTTTCTATATAAATTCCAATATAGTATAAAAATAGGCAAATCTTTAAACCACTTCCATGACTTATTCTCTCTTTTAAATAGTCGAATCGGGGGTCCGATAAAACTAATTACAATAGTTTTTTACTAAGCGAATTAAAACTAAAAATTCTTCTCTTAAGAATTATTAAATTTTAGCATCCTGACGAATAACTAAGCTATAAAATGGAAAATCAAGTTTCCTTGATTCATAGTCTTTGACCGACTTGCCAAATAAGAAGGAACACTATTACTATTCCTAATTTTTGTTGGGCGTAAATAAGAAATTTTAAAATTTTATTATTCCAAGCCAGAAATGAGTTCTGTGTGTGATTTGTTGTCTTGTGACGGACATACTTTGCAATGAAATAATTTAATTTAAAACTTAGTGAGACAGTCTTCTAATTTATAGACCGTCTTATATATATATATATATATATATATATATATATATATATATATATATATATATATATATATATATATATATATATACATATATATATGTATGTATGTATGTATGTATGTATATATATATATATATAAAATAAGGGGGCCCGACAAAAAATTGCGAGGGGGGTGTTTTAATAAGTTTTGCCTAGGGCGCTAAACAACCTCGCGCCGGCACTGGTTGTGGATAATTATATCCAAACGTGTTAGGTAAGTATATTGTACCCAAACTAATAGGTAAGTTGTGGATAATTATATGTAAACTTATCTTGAGTATATGCAATATATTATAAAAGATTTAATTATCTGATATTTTTTTTTTTTTAGTTTTTTTCTACGGTGTCCTAGCTATTGGATTGGCTTATGTTGTGTCACACCTTGGGTCTATATTACAGGTAAGTTGCACGCCCACCGCCCCCAAGGGCGAAATAGTATGTACATTATTTATATAGACAATGTGTACTACAAAAGTGTATCTGAGGTATTGAACATTCGTCAGGTAGTACTTGCTTGGGTTTAAAATTTATTTATTCAAACCGATTAAAGTTTTCTTTTAAATTAAAATTCTAATGGCAATTACAAAATCTAAACATCACAAATACCTAAATATACAATAATTTTGATTGTTAATAGCCATGTATATTTACATGTAAAAAAAAGAAGGCATATTTTAAATTTATTATTCTGGAACTGTTAACGACTTATAAGAATATATGAATTGTTTGTCTCCCTTGATTGCTGGAAATTAATACATGGGAAGTCACTTAGAAACATGAAAATTCTATTCAACGTTTAGAACACCTCAACCTGTATCATCCTTGTATGGTATTAAAGCCTCCTCTATCATGCTTGTGTTATATAACAGTTGCACGACCATTCACCATCAGAATAAAATCTTTAATTTGTAACCAAATCTAAAAAAAATGAAACCAAATCAAACAAGGACCTGCATTTTTTTCAGGCTGTTTACATCGTGTTTGGTATACTGAACGGGCCACTGCTGGGTGTCTTTACCCTGGGGATGTTCTTCCCGTGGGCCAACAGACGGGTGAGTATTTGATCTCATCTATTTATAGCTGAATGTTTACCTGAGATACACGCTGTGTGAATTGGTTGACATGATTGTTGCGATATATGAACAACCTGGGCTTTGGAGGGGGGGGGGGGGATCTGGCATATTGAGAGACGCTAAAAAGACTATTAAAAACGTGTTTAGTGTAGACTTCTTTAAAAAGTATTTTGTAATTAGACTTTGTTCTTCTTCTTCTTCTTCTTCGTTCTTAATTATTAGTGTTGAAGGGGATCGAGATTTATCTGCCAGTGGGTTTGAACTCGAGACTTTGTTCGAATTTATCAACCATGAGCTTTTTGCCTACTCGACCACGTCTCCAACACAATTAAGCGTTACGTGTCAACTGGTTATGCGCCATTGATGCCATTGACTCCGATTTCAGCCTGCTTTTCTTTTTGGATTTGCTTCCATAGCCTTTGTCCAACCAAGAACAAACTACAAGGCAGCAGTTGTTTAATTTTGGAGTTGTCTCTCCTAGAAGAGTTGCTGTCCCCAGCTAACGAGCCTCATCTGCCCGAGGGTTCGAACTCGAGACTTTTCGGTTTAGCAAGCATGAGCTTTATTATTGTTAAAACAATATGTTTGTAACAGACTTCCTTGAAGAGAAACAATGCCTTCTCCTATCATGTTACTCCCCCCCCCCTTTTCTGCTATAGGGCGCTTTTGGTGGTCTGATTGGCTCCCTAGCCATCCTGTTCTGGATCGGCATCGGATCATTCGTCTACAACATAGAGACACCCGTCTCCCCCACTTTCGTGACGGGTTGTAACTTCACGGCTAAGCCAACCCCCTCTCCGGTCAACGTGACAACCACACCGGCCACCCCCACAGAGTCCAGGTGAGTGGCTTGTTGTGAGAGGGATGTTGGTTAGACGTACCACTGCTGGGCATTAGGATTATGGTTATTGTTATGTTTTTATTTCGAGTTAAGGTGAAGTATTAGGAAGAGGATAGCGACTGATGTAAAAGTTGTACTGCAGTTGGTTTCTGTGAGTTAGATAACTAAACGATGTTCTTAAACGACACAATAAAGAAAACACATTTTTTTTTATTCGTGAAAAAAAAATATCAAATAAGAGACGACATGGTTGAATAGTAGAGCATACTACTGTTAACCTGAAAGTCTCCTGTTCGAATCCGGGTTTAAGTCGGTAAAACTTCCCTGAATCCACCCAGCTCTGATGTGTACCTGACTCACTTTAGGGAAAGTTAAGGCAGCTGAGTATATGGACCGTCAGGTTCAATTGGGAACTTTACTTTTCAAAAACAACTATAGCCTACTTACACTTTAAACTAATTTAGTTCCAAACTGCGTGCCAAATTAAAAATACAACAAACTTTACCTATTTATATTTGTCATTTGATATGAGAGCTACAGTAATTATTTGACTGTACAGAAACGTTAGCTCATGTATGTGTAGTCCCTGGTGTTGATATGATTAAATTACACAATTGTTTTGTGTTGCAGCGATCCATTCATAGAAATGTACAAGTTGTCTTACATGTACTACACAGCACTCGGCATGCTAGCCGTCTGGGGTGTAGGGCTACCTATAAGTTTTGCTACAGGTAGGTGTAGGGCTACCTATAAGTTTTGCTACAGGTAGGTGTAATGCTACCTATAAGTTTTGCTACAGGTAGGTGTAATGCTACCTATAAGTTTTGATACAGGTAGGTATAATGCTACCTATAAGTTTTGCTACAGGTAGGTGTTGTGCTACCTGTAAGTTTTGCTACAGGTAGGTGTAGGGCTACCTATAAGTTTTGCTACAGGTAGGTCTGTGGTATAGGGCTACCTGTACGTTTTGCTACAGGTATGTGTAGGGCTACCTATAAGTTTTGCTACAGGTAGGTGTAGGGCTACCTATAAGTTTTGCTACAGGTAGGTGTAATGCTACCTATAAGTTTTGCTACAGGTAGGTGTAATGCTACCTATAAGTTTTGATACAGGTAGGTATAATGCTACCTATAAGTTTTGCTACAGGTAGGTGTTGTGCTACCTGTAAGTTTTGCTACAGGTAGGTGTAGGGCTACCTATAAGTTTTGCTACAGGTAGGTCTGTGGTATAGGGCTACCTGTAAGTTTTGCTACAGGTATGTGTAGGGCTACCTATAAGTTTTGCTACAGGTATGTGTAGGGCTACCTATAAGTTTTGCTACAGGTAGGTGTAAGGCTACCTGTAAGTTTTGCTACAAGTAGGTTTGTGGTATAGGGCTACCTATAAGTTTTTCTACAGGTAGGTGTAGGGCTACCTATAAGTTTTGCTACAGGTAGGTGTAGGGCTACCTATAAGTTTTGCTACAGGTAGGTCTGTGGTATAGGGCTACCTGTAAGTTTTGCTACAGGTATGTGTAGGGCTACCTATAAGTTTTGCTACAGGTATGTGTAGGGCTACCTATAAGTTTTGCTACAGGTATGTGTAGGGCTACCTATAAGTTTTGCTACAGGTATGTGTAGGGCTACCTATAAGTTTTGCTACAGGTATGTGTAGGGCTACCTATAAGTTTTGCTACAGGTAGGTCTGGGGTGTAGGGCTATTTATGCATCATGTAGATCTAGAGTATAGTGCTACCCATGCTAAATGTATGTCTTGGGTGTGTGGCTACATTTGCTAAGGTAACTTTGGAGTCTAGGGCTATATTAGCGACTATAAGTATGAAGTGTGGGTGTACCTATACCTTGCTTCATGTAGGTCTGGTTTATAGAGCCATCTTTACTATAGATTTGTGATGGGTTACCTGTACATTTCAGCATAATTTACATTTTTAAAATATCCTCTGCTCACATCACCCCAGGCTACACCCGACCAGAGACCATTGACCCTCGTCTCATCTGCCCGGTATTTGAGGAAATGATTCCATGTCTGCCAGCTAAAGTTAAAAAGTTCTTTCGTTTTGGTATCGTCCACGAAGGGGTGAGTAGACCAATACTAATTCATATTTTGTGATGTTCTAATTAAACAAGCAGCCTTTATAAACTTCTTTTTTCTTATAAAAGATCGACCATACAAGAAGTCAATATTATTAAAGTGTCGACTTTTGTGATGATGTGTGGGAGGGGGAGTGTGGGAAGGGGGATGGGGGTAAAAGCGTCACATAACTTTTAACGATCGCTACACATTAATTTTTAAAATGCTTCTAAATTTTTCATGGTAAAGTGTGATTCTATTTACAACTATAGATTTTAATAAATCTGTCTCTAGGACATTCGGTTAATTTTTTTGTCAATTAATTTTCTACTGACAATGTTGCTGTATTTGATTCCCCCCCCCCGTCCACTTAGAAATATGACAAAGAGGCCAAAACGGACATTGAGATGTCCATCAAGGGATCATCGTCCAACACATTAAAAGCCTCTCAGACCAGCCTCACACCAGATGTATTGTCTGACAATGTCAACGAGACGAAAACTTCTAAAGTCTCCTTGGAAGTCGGCACTGAAAACGGAGACGCGGGCAAGGACAATCTAGGGTATATAAGTGATGTTGACAAAAGTGTTACGCGGTTATGAAAATAAACGTTCATTTATTTTTAAAAAACATTAAATCCAATGATCGTTCATAAAACTAGTATTTATTATTTTTAGAGTTCATTTTTATGATAATTAAAACAGTACCAAAAAAGTAAGAGAAGATCATCTTTTTCAAATGAGTTTTCTTCATTATAATATTTCTGATTCATGCAGATAAAAATTTAAATATTAATCTAGTTAAAATGTTAATTGTGATAGAAATTCGGATAAATATTTTCTACTTACTCATACAATTAAGTCATATCGCTTGTCATTTAACAACCATTACTATTAGATTTAGATGTGCTTATTTAAAGAATTATATTTATTATTATATCAAGTTTTATATAACTCTGTACCTACATGTGTAGTGGGTTGATAGCCCACGTAGGGGCACCCATTTTCTAAAAACCCCAATTTATAAGGCCCACTTTTGACATTTCAAATATTTTTTTTTCAATAAAACACTCAAACACTGAGTCATATTCATGACTAAATAATAAATAGCATAAATAAAATTATAAAATATTTTTATAAGCAAAGATAGTTATGTTTCCGTTTATGACAGATAAGGTAGATAATAACATGAGGTAGATTATAATAGATTATGTAGATTATAACATGAGGTATATTATAACAGATGAGGTAGATTATAACATGAGGTAGGTTATAACATGAGGTAGAATATAACAAGAGTTAGATTATAACAGATGAGGTAGATTATAACAGATGAGGTAGATTATAACAGGTGAGGTGAGGTAGATTATAACATGAGGTAGATTATAACAGATGAGGTAGATTATAACATGAGGTAGATTATAACATGAGGTAGGTTATAACATGAGGTAGAATATAACACGAGTTAGATTATAACAGATGAGGTAGATTATAACTAGAGGTAGATTATAAAAGATGAGGTAGATAATAACAGATGAGGTAGATTATAACAGATGAGGTATATAAAAAACAATTAATCTGTTCCTCTGATAACGAAGATATTGATCAGCACTATGCCCAGTCACCTTTACTTTCCCTAATTAGTTTACACAACCATAACCAATTATGCATTTCAAAACTCATTAGATTTTTAATTTGTATTTATTATATGCCACATTTTTAACAGGTGGAATTGAGCATTCGTTTACATACGAGGCCAATCGTCCATTATAAATTTAAAATATATTGTTTATAATCAGGGCTTTCAAACCGAACACCATTCCATATGCATTGCAGTTATACAGAATTGCACACTTCCGCCTTGAGGATATTATATTTAAAAGGTTTTGTTTGTTTACAGGTCTACTGTACACGTGAAGTCGATAGTCTAGTGGTAACTATGTGAATGTTGTAACCATTTTTTATTTCCATGGTCAGATTGCATTTGTCTTGTATAAACCAGTGCATTAGGTATTTTATTTACTGGATGTCTTGTGCTAAATACAAACGACACGGCTGAAGATTTGAGAATTATTTAAGATTGATTAAACTTATATTTTGCAATATTTGTTTCGTTTCCATTTCTTTCATACTGTAAATTATACATTGTTTCTTAAGAAATATCCGTTTTAAGTTTTAAATTTATGATTGTCCCAACTGGATGTGGCTATATGTTGTGTGTAAATATTGAATGATCTGTGTCAACATATCTGTGTCAACATATATGTGTTGTGTTGTATGCATGTGTAGCTTTTTAACTAAAACTAACATTTGATGAAAAATATAGTTATGTAATATCCAGGACCGGATTTAGACTTAATAAGAACCCTGGGCCAGGGGTCGGCAACCTGCGGCTCGCGAGCCGTAAGCGGCTCTTTTGACGTCAAAATGCGGCTCTTCAGTTCCATGCACAAATATTAATAATTATTTTATTTTCAAAACTTAAAAAATATTGTTCTGCTACACTCGGTAATGAACGATATAATAATAAATATAATCAATAAACACTCGCTTTTCTATTAGATTATTTATTTACTCACCATTTCAATGTCCTATTAAATTATCCATCCCGAATTGAAACATTCAACTTCATGGTGGATATCATAAAGAAACTAAACGAGCTAAATGTAAACCCAGACAATACCTTGCTTGAAGAAGTGGATTGTTTTGAAAAATAAATACTTGTTTTTATTGAAGATACGGAGAGCGGTAAATTGCTTAATTTCGAAAATCACGATGAAACCAATGCTACTATTAACATGAATTACTACAATAAACAAAATGAAGGATGGGTTCACTGAGAGATTTGAGCAATTCAAAACAAATGCAAGCACTCTGACGTTCATAGTAGACTCCCTCAACACAAAAACAAATGGGATTAACTTTGAGCTATTTGGAATTCATGCTGGTTCGTTTCAAATGAAATTGCTGGATTTGAAAACCAAACGTTTCTGGCTTGGTAAGTTCACAGATCTCAAGAGCAAATTAGGAGAGTTGGAGGTCCAGAAAAACCTGCACGTTTCGCTGCACAGGTGGACAGCTGTAAAAAAAATGCCGCGAGTTGAGGCCCTACCATGTGACGCATGGAATAGTCTTCCAGGATGCTACATTGAGGTGAAGAAGTTGGCATTTGGGTCAACATATTCATGCGAGCAAGCGTTTTCTTGTATAAATATAATAAAAAGTAAAGAAGCCAACTAACAAATAAAATCTAGAGGAATGCTTGAAAAAAAACAACAAGTTCTGAGCCAGGTTGAAACAAACTTTCAAAAGGCATGCAAGGCCAAACTATTGTAAATAGTATTCAATAATGAAAGTTATATACTTTGATTAATGATTTCACTATTCTAGCAGAAATACCTAAATACTTTAATATTTTGTTTGCAAAACATGTGTATTTTTAAATGAATAAATATTATTTCAAATGTAAAGCTATTTATTTTAAATTATTTATATATATATATATATATATATATATATATATATATATATATATATATATATATATATATATATATATATATTTATTTATTTATTTATTTATAATCCTTATCAAATTTTATATTGAAATAAAAATGTTAGTGGCTCTTTAAAAACTGGGTAATTTTGTAAATTGTAACTTTTGGCTCTTCCGTATCAAAAGGTTGCCGACCTCTGTTCTATACTCCTTATACGAGAAACTAACACTAGCCCCATCGCCCGCTCCGGCAATCTATAATATATCTACATGCATATGCCTTGCATTTGTGTTCGATTTAGTAATACACTTTACATCATCCGATATCTCCAATAATAAAGAAGAGAGTCCATATGTTTCAAAACAGTATTACTTGGAAAAGATTGTATTTTAACTAGCAACCATGTTATGTTTATTAGGGTTTCATATTACTGATGTTATTGGATTAATGATACACTATAATATTGAATTAACTAGCAATAGATAAATATTTTTTAAATTTGCTTTTAAATCTTAAAATTTTGTTGTTTACAATTAAAAATAGTGTTATAGCGTTTAAGACATAGTTTGTTTTTTTAAAAGTTCGTTATTTTGAAATCTAGTTTTGAGTTTTTTCCCTTGGAAAAAAACCCAATGCAAAAACTAAGTTGAATTTCTGAGAATGGATCATGACCCTCGTTACGACTAGAGCAGGGGCCTTCAACCTGCGGTTTGCGAGCAGCAAGCGGCTCTTTTGATGTCAATATGCGGCTCTCCATTTCCATAACAATTATATTATTTTATTTTCAAAACTCATTAAGTATTATACTGTAAAAACGTAAAAACAAAAACAACTTTAAACAAAAGAAAAAACAATGAGTAGGTGGAGTAGAGCGTATATGGACAGCTGACAGCCGCTGGGCATTAGCAGTGTTTCGTTTCTTCGAGACTTTTTTCTCCAGAGGGGGGGGGGGGGGTACTAAAATTTCCAGGAAGGGGGTGGGGGGCGGACACCGTTAAATGTATATATTTTCTATATGGATTCTATTTCGCTCTGGGAGGGGGGGGGGGCGGTAGACTTTCTCAGGGGGGAGGGGGGACCCCTGAAGAGATGCCTGGAAGAAACTTTGGGCATTATGCCCAGCACCACAACTGTGCTGTGTCCAGCGCCGTGGCAATTGTTCAAAACTTTCCACTACTGAAGTGCATAAAAATGTTAGTGGCTCTTTGAAGATTAGGAAATTTTGTAGATAGTAACTTTTGGCTCTTCCGTCGCAAAAGCTTGCCGACCCCTGCCCTAGGCTATTTTCAATATGAGGCCCTTTATAAGTCCAGATATTAGGCCTATAGGCTATTACAGTGTCAAATATTTTTTATTTAATAAAAAGAAAGTTTGCCTAAGTTAACTGAATAGGAAAAATAGTTTGGTCTCTACCATGGTTTAAAAAAAACAACAAAACAAGTTAATTTTAAAAAATAAAAACTAAATTTGTCGCCAAAATGTCGACCACCATTAAAACGAAAATACTAATTTAGGTGTACCCAAGGAAAGCGGGGGCCCAAAGCTAAAGCTTGTTAAGCTTATAGGAAAATCCGGCTTTGGTTATGTTTGATGATTCCATGAAACTGTACTTCAAGTTTACGTTCGTGGTGTTCAGAAACACTTTCTACGTTTTTTAAAATTTAAAACAAAGTATAACTTTGCCTCAAACTTTACAACTCTGATGGAGTTAATAGTTCTAGCTTTCCATTTTGTTACTTTATGTATATAAATGAATATAAATGCACAGTGCTGGATTTTTTAAAAAAGTCAACATTTCCCTACAGTCTGTTAAAATCAATAGTGATGACTGCTTCCCACAGCACTCCGCCCCCCCCCCCTCCCTAATATACATAAAAAAACTATGTATAATTTAAATTTGACAATATAGAGGCCTACTCTAACATGTGAATCTTATCTAAGGGAGGTAATACTTGAACAAGAAAGACAACAAAGACATTTTTACAGCTTCCTGGAAAAAAAGAGTTATCTCGGAGTAATGAAAGTAAATCAAATGAGAATTTTGTTAATGCTTGTAAAAATTGCATGGAATCTACTAAGCGTAGTAATGTTGTCTCGGGTGAATTTTCTGGCCTATATATTATGTCGTAAAGGAAGAAATAGGACTTTTAACGTGTAGCTGTCCTATGACGCGAGCATTAGAATGTTAACTACTGATTCCTTGTAATTAAATAATAGGAAACGAAAACACCATGAAATGAGCAAGAACATAACTATTTACGATACACAGTTTTGATTATATCAGCCAAACTTGAAAATATCTGTCCATACATTTTTAAACACTGGAAAAAATGCTGATACACCTACTTATAGAATGTAGGTAATGTTAGAAATGTTGATTTTGTTAGAATTGTTGGCAGTGGCGTAGCGAGGTCGAGTGTCACCCGGTGCGGAACTTAATGGTGTCACCCCCCCCCCTAGAGGCGTAACGACCCTTCCCGGGGACAAACATTCAAACTTTCGATTTGCACCCCCCCCCCCCTCAAGTTTTTCTCTATATATCTTGCTATTTTCTGCCTTGGTGTCACCCCCCTAAATGGTGTCACCCGGTACGGTCCGTACCCCCCGACCCCCCCCCCCCCCCTTCCCTCGCTACGTCCCTGATTGTTGGTAATATTACAAGCGCTAATAATGTCAGAAATGCTGATATTGCCAGAAATGTTCATTCAGATGCTTATCTGGCAGGAAAGTTGATGATGTGTTGATGTGGATAGAGATGTCACTGATGTTGAATCCGAATGAAATAGTTGATAAATAATGTTGTTACAGAATGATGTTGATACTGACAGTTGTTTCAGGGATACACACTGATCTTCTAACGAAAAAAACAACAACAAATTAATTAGATCGATATTTTTATCAGGCGAAATACATTTTTCCATGCTTGCTTGTATGTTAGACATTGATATCACTGCTAATGTTTACGGTGGGATATCAATTATATTATGTCATACAGGATTAATTATATTATGTCATACAGGATTAATTATATTATGTCATTCATGATTAATTATATTATGTCATACAGGATTAATTATATTATGTCCTACAGAATGAATTATATTATGTCATACAGGATATGTATATAAGTTAATAATCGTAGTTCAAACATCTATTTTTTGTTTTGGTATTCAGGATGATTGAATAAACAATTCTTCAAATTTTATGAAGACCCATAAAATTATTTTTTATCGGACTTGCATTTGTCCTTTGTCTGTATAGTGTGGTGTAAGATATGTTAGAATAAATGAAAATTTTATCCGACCAAAAGAGAATGTGCTTATCGAAGTGTTGATTAAATGAGTGTATACGGGTGGTCGTCCATAAATGACGTCACACTCGTAGTGGGGAGTGGGGATCCGTAATTTTGTGACGGTGTGTGTTGAGGTGGAGAAAGAGTATGGGGGGGGGGGGAGGGATGTTCATATGATGTGACGTCACACTTGCATTACAAAAAAAGCAATATAGAAAACGAATTTTAGCCGTTATTTCGCGTTTTAGAAACTGTTTTAATAAATTGTAATAGGAATTGCTTAAAATACTCTTATGTTGACAGAGT